AGGCCGAGCATACAAAATTTAGAAAGCCAAATGAGCCAACTAGCTACGGCGAGTCGAGAAATTAGAGTCTCGAGGCTCGGAAAATTATCTTCCTAAATCGTGGTGAACCCAAAGCAAAATGCTTGTGCCATTACACTAAGGAGTGGAAAGGAATTGAAAGAACCGAGTAAGGAAAACCCCAAAGTATGCTTGTGGAAGAGAAATCGAGGTGGAAGCGAGAAAAACATGACTCACGAGCAGATAAATGGTGAATTGCCCGAAACGAGTGGTGGTTCCTCCACCTTTTCCAAGCCGTTTTGCAAAATCTAAAAAGGAACGCCAAGATAAAGACATTCTGGAGGTATTTTGGAAGATTGAGGTAAATATTCCCTTCTCGGATGCTATAAACCAAGTGCCTAGATATGCAAAGTTCCTTAAGGAACTATGCACTACAAAAAGAAAACTCAAAGGTGATGAGAGAATCCAAAAGAAGTTACCACCAAAATGCAAAGACCCGTGTATGTTCACTATCCCATGCAAGATTGGTAATATGAAAATTGAAAGAGCTTTGATAGACTTAGGAGCTTCAATAAATGTCATGCCTAGCTCAATATATCACTCTCCGAATACTTGGACCACTAAAAGAAATAGGTGTGATCATACGGTTAGTTGATAGGTCAATTGCATATCCTGAAGGAGTCTTAGAAGATGTTCTTGTGCAAGTGAATGAGTTGGTGTTCCCTGCGATTTCTATGTGTTAGATATGGAAGAAGATAATTCTTCTAAATCTGTCACAATTCCGTTGGGAAGACCATTTCTTAAAACATCTAAGACAATAATTGATGTTTCTAAAGGTATTCTCACTATGGAATTCGATGATGAAATAATTAGATTTAATATATATGATACCATGCGATTTCCTAGTGAGATAAGTCATGTTTTTATTATTGATGTGATTGACTCTTTAGCGCGGCAAGTTTTTGAATTAACGGACTCGATGATATGAAGATTGCTATCATTGAGAATGTTGATCTCAAGGAGTCTGGAGAAATTGGAACAAAAATTGGTGATACATGAGGAATTGAAAGATGCAATTTTTTTGCTGGAGTCACTTAGAACTCTCAAGCATAATGTGTCTTTCATTGAACTTCCAATATCTCACACCAAGCTCCTCCCATCGATTCTGCGAGCACTAAAATTGGAATTGAAAGCTTTGCCAAGTCACTTGAAGTACACCTTTTTAGGTGATAACCAAACCCTTCCGAGTGATAATTTCTAGCAAACTTACCAACCTTGAGGAAGAAAAGTTGATTAGAGTGCTTGAAAGACCACAAGGAAGCAATTGGATGGACAATTGCGGACATTAAGGGAATCGGCCCCTCCACTTGTATGCATCGTATACTGCTGGAAGAAGATTGCAAACCCTCTGAGAGGCTCAACGCGGACTCAATCCACCAATGATGGAGGTCGTCAAGAAAGAAGTACTGAAACTCCTTGATGTAGGTATGATTTTTCCAATCTTAGACGAGTAAATGGGTTATTCCAGGTGCGAGTTGTGCCCAGAAGACCGGTGTTACGGTGATTGAAAACAATAATGGTGAGTTAGTCCCTATTCGAGTTCAAAATGGATGGTGAGTCCGCATAGACTATAGGAAGGTCGAATGCTTCCACTAGGAAAGATCATTTCCCACTCGCCATTTATTGATCGGATGCTTGAAAGATTGGTCGGACGTTTTCACTATTGTTGTTTAGATGGGTATATGGGTTTCAATCGGATACTAGTAGCACCAGAAGACCGGGAGAAGACAACATTTACATGCCCCTTTGGAACGTTTGCCTATCGTCGCATGCCTTTCGGTTTGTGCAATGCTCCGAGTAACTTTTCAAAGGTGTATGATCGGTATTTTTTCGGATTACGTAGAGAATTTCATAGAAGTATTCATGGATGACTTTACTTGTTTGCGGTAATTCCTTTGATACATGTCCGAATAATTTGGTGAAAGTGTTAAAATGATGTGTGGAAACAAACCTTGTGTTAAACTACGAAAAATGTCATTTCATGGTTGATCAAGGTTTAATTTTGGGTCATATAGTGTCATCGAAGGGAATAGAAGTTGATAAATCCAAAATTGATCTCATTAAGTCATTACCATATCCTACATGTGTACGGGGTGTGCGTTCTTTTCTTGGTCATGCGGGGTTTTATAGAAGATTCATCAAAGACTTCTCCAAGATCGCTCATCCACTGCGCCAACTACTCGTAGAAGGAGGTCCTTTTTAGTTTAATAAAGATTGCGGAATAGCTTTTGACCATTTAAAGGAGTTGTTAACTTCGGCTCCTATCATTCAACCTCCAAAATGGGATGTTCCATTCGAGATAATGTGTGATGCCAGCAACTATGCAATTGGTGTCGTACTCGGGTCAAAGGATTAGAAAAGCTACTCATGCCATTTACTATGCATCCGGAACTCTTGATAATGCTCGGCGTAATTATTCCACTACGGAAAAAGAATTGTTTCGTTGTTATATTTGCTCTAGAAAAATTTCGTTCATACCTGCTAGGTATGAAAGTTGTTGTTTATTCGGATCATGCGGCGTTGAAGTACCTTCTCAAAAAGAAAGAAGCAAAACCGAGATTAATAAGATGGATCCTTCTATCGCAAGAATTCGATCTAGAGATTCTAGATAAGAAAGGATCGGAGAATTCGGTTGTAGACCATTAGAGAAGATTGGTGATCAGTGAAGACCCCATACCTTTGCAAGACTCTTTTCCGGATGAGTATCTCTTTAACTTACAAAATTCAACACCATGGTATGCGGATATAGTTAACTTTTTAGTCACCGGAACTTTGCCTCGGGACTTATCTAGAGCACAAAAAGATAAAATTAGGAGTGATTCTAAATATTATGTTTAGGATGACCCGTATTTGTGGAAACATTATTCGACCAATTAATTCACAAGTGTGTTCACGAAAGTGAAATCTCATCCATTCTTAAGTTCTATCATTCATATGCATGTGGTGTTCACTTTGGTCTAAAGAGAACGAGCACGTAAGGTGCTAGAATGTGGTCCGTTTTGGCCTCGCTTCGTTTCATGATGCATACATGTTTTGTAAATCATGTACTAATTGTCAAAGGAGTGGTAATTTAGGACACGGAGACCAAATGCCCCCGACTCCCATCCTAGTATGTGAAGTTTTTGACATATGGGGTATAGATTTTATGGGTCCATTCCCACAATCTTTTGGTAATTTGTATGTAATCTTAGCTCGTGGATTATGTTTCAAAGTGGATAGAAGCTAAAGCCACAAGAACTAACGATGCTAAGATCGTTGTAGACTTTGTCAAAACTCATATTTTTGCCAAGTACGGTACACCGAGAGCCATAATCTATGATCGAGGCACTCACTTTTGCAATCATGTGGTAAGAACATTGATGAAGAGATACAATGTTACTCACGGAATTTCAACCGCCTATCACCCATAGACAAATGGCTAAGTCGAAGTCTCGAATAGGAAAGTTAAATCGATACTTGAGAAGACTCGTCAATCCAAATAGGAAAGATTGGAGTGTACGCCTTGATGATGCCTTATGGGCATACCGCACGAGCATACAAAACTCCTATAGACATGTCTCCATATCGGTTGATATTTGGTAAGCCCCGTCATCTTCTAGTGGAATGGGAACACAGAGCTTATTGCGCGGTCAAGCGAGTTCAATATGAAGATGGATGAGGTCGGAGACCATAGAAAGTTACGATTGCGGGAGTTGGAAGAAATCGAAATGAGGCTTATGAGAATTCTAGAATTTATAAGGAGAAAACAAAGATTTTGCATGATAAAATGATTTCAGAAAAACATTTTTCGTTGGTCAAAAAGTTCTCCTATTTCATTCTAGACTTAAACTATTTCCGGGGAAACTAAGGTCTCGTTGGGTCGGTCCATTTGTTGTCACTAATGTTTTATGTCATAGTACAATAGAAATCAAGAGTATTTCAACCAATAAAATCTTCAAGGTTAATGGACATTGTCTCAAACCTTATTATGAAGGATTTCGGGTTTGCAACATGGAAGAAATAACTCTGGAACTTCCAAACTATGAAGAATGAATGATGATTACGTCTAGCCAAAGACGTTAAAGAAAAGCGCTGATTGGGAGGCAACCTAAAAAAATATATATATATATATATATATATATATAGCTTGATTTAATTTTTTGTTTTATTTGAAGGAAAATTTCAACAGCAGTAACCATTCCGTTGTAAGAATGCATTCAGGATTTACCAGTGAGGAATTATCATTGAGAAGTAAGAAGCACATAAATTTCCTTTGGCGTGCCCATGCCTTATTTTCGAAGGATAACAGGCTTCTTCAACCTTTCCTCTAATGTCTTTCTGACATCTGGAATCTCTGGGTAAAAATTTCTGGTAAATCTTGAATAAGTTGCAGGTCTAATAGTAAAAAAATAAATGGAGGAACGGTTACTTTGCTTATGTTTGTTCTTTTGTTTTTAGCTTTCGTTATTTACATGTGTTACCCTTCTCTTTATTTTTATTTATTATTAATTTTTTTCTCTCACTTGCCTATTTATGTTCACTCTTGTTTTTTTTATTTTACCCCCTCTCTCCCATTTTCTAAAGATTTCCACATGTTTAAAATCTCTTTCCCTCATTTTTCTCTCACCCGAACCCTAGCTATACACGCCGCTGCTGTTGTTATTTCGAAAATCTCCAGCAGAGATCTGCCACCCAAACGCCATCGCTGCTACTCCGAGAACCACTAGCAAGGATCTCCCACCCGAACCCTCGCCGATCTGGTTCCGTTACCATGGCTGCTGCTATTCTGTGACCCTCCAGCCCGACTCGCTCTCCACCATTTCCGTCAGCAGTCACACACGAACTTGATGGTTCGTTACAAAAGTGTGGCCAGGAAGAAGAAGGTGGAAGTACGAATGGAACCACCCATATTGCGAAATAAAATAGGCAAAGGTAAGTCAGTGCTTCCCCCATCAAAAAAGCAAATGGGTGGTAATGTCAAATTCACCAAGAAAAAGCACAAAGAAAGGTATGCTATTCTATTGACCCGAAAAATTGTTCCTTGCAAGCATATTGATAATCATGTGATTGATACCTTGCCCTTGGCTTATTATTGGGATTTGGTTAGGAATTCGGGATGGGAAACTTATTTTTCTCTTCATTATCCCGCATACTATGAGCTAACTAGAGAATTTTATGCGACTTATGAGTTCAATTACCCCAAAAACATAACCACAGACAGTCCTGGGGTTATCAATTTTAGAATGCTTGGTGTTGATCATGCTTTTTCCTTAACTGAGTTCAATTTGACTTGTGGGTTCATTACCCCTGAATTTGCCCATTCTATTGACTATGAGGAGGCACCGTGTGACTTCCTTGATGATTTTGACCCGACCACATCTTGGCCATCACTCTCTTCCGATGACAGACCTTATCATGCAAGTACCTCTCGTTCCATTTATCTGTGCTCACTAGACCTGCGATAAATTCACCGTTTCCTATCCATGACATTTTCTGGTACCAATGATGATTCCTCTAGACTTAGTAAGACTGAATTCTTTTTCTTATTTTGCATGGAACATAGAATTAAGATTAATCTTGCAGCTTGGTTGGGTAGACAATTCCTTTTTATGGCTAAGAAAAAGAGAGGACATTTGTGCTTAGGTTCAATTGTTACTTTCATTGCTATCAAATTGGGTGTTTTGGACATGAATAAGACTAACATACACATTGCTTGTGAGATGGAACCCTTGGACTTTGCTTGTTTACATAGGATGGGAGTTATCTCTAAAGACAAAGAAGGGCATTACCGCATCGCTCCACCTGGACCAAGCCTTGCACCTCGGATAATTCGCTCCAAACGCAGCAGACCAACAACCACCGAATCAGATGAGGAGGCTACTCCTTCCAGTACCTCAATTTCACTAATACAATTAAAGGAGCAGCAGGACCGCATGGAGAAGAACTTGATGGCATACTTTTCTTATGTTGGTTTTAGCCCTCCCTATCCACCAGCAACTTAGAATGTTCTGCCACTGCTGAGGGCTCATTTCAGGGAAGTTCACTAAACCTTTTTATTCCCTGAGTATTTTGTCATTTTTATTTTCTTTTATGCTTCATTACAATTTCCACACATTGAGGACAATGTATATGATAAGTGTGGGGGAGGTAGTTTTGGAAAACTTTGCAAAATGAACCATACTGCTTTTCTGGACTGATTTGAACTATAGGAATTTGAAGTGTGGCATGACCTGTGACTTGTTCTTCTGCCTTATGCTTCTTTTTGAACTGGTACTATCATGTATTGTAAATCTGAAGTATTTAACTTAAAAATGACATGAGTAATAGTAGCTGAAGTCTATTCACCAATTTCTATTTCTCATCTCTTTGACATTTGATTTGGTTGCTAAGCATGCAAGATTTAAATATCAAATTATACAATCTCGTGAGATTTTGAGCCCATATGAACAAGTCACTACATCTTGTTCCAATTGTTTATTTTGAGTGATGTCCAACATGGTTTGATAAATCTAGAACTTGCTTGGTTATGCATGTTGAGACCACGTATATTGAATTCTTGCATAAATATGACGAAGGCACTTAGGATTAACTTTTTCTTTTTAACTCTTAAAAATCTAAAAAAAAAACCCACTAGTTAGCCAAGTTGAGCCTTAATCTCTGCCCCTTCTTGATTAAACACCATGCATTTTTCAACCATAAACCGTTTTCCCTGGATTCTCCTCCTTTTACCATATTAAAAAGATGCTTTGTTCGATCACATAAAGCTAACCTTATTTTTTAGGAAACTGTAGTGTTTGAATTGAAGTACTTGGGACTGAAAAAAAAAAGGAAGGTCTGGACTCCATTGTTGAAAGTAGAATGCACGTATGTTCTCATATAGAAAAATCCCCTAGATCATGATGTGCATTGGCAGTGTGTCATTCAAAAAAAAAAAAGTCCAGTATTCCTTCCTTTAATTAAGAGTTTCAGTCTCTGTCATTTGAAGCAGTAACATGGTAATTCAGCTTTATGTGACTAAGTTTTTCGTTCCCTTTTGATACCTCCAGCCTAAACTCTCCTTCCATCATACCATCACCTAAGCCCCATTTCACCCTGTTTAATTTTTGCATTACTTCATATCTAGTGGTGTAGATTTGATATATGAGCAAGCATATGGAAATATCTTACTATGTTATGATATGAGAGCTTTGTAATACCCTAAACACTTGAGTCTGATTTGAGTGACAACAACGTGAGGATATTTAAATATTGATGTGCTTAAGTTCTTTTGAAAATTGTGGGGTTGATGGGAAATTTAAGTGGTGCATACATTTCATGCTATAAAGAGCTTAAATCTTTGAAAGTTGATTTGATTCAAAATTTACAATGCATGATATTTCGAGAAAGTTAAGAAGCAAATGGCAGAGAGAAAGTGAATGAGATGGTTTATTTTTGTTGCTTGAGGACAAGCAAAGACTCAGCGTGGGGGAATTTGATATATGGCATAAACTCTTTATTTAGTATAATTATTCTCCCATGATTTATGAATGATTGGTCCTTAATCATTGAGAATTAATTATATAATGTTTATGAAGCAGTTAAATATCGAGTTGGACTAATTTGGGATAAAATTGGATGTTTTAACCGCTAATTGCTGCAAGTCAGGAAGTACAGAGATGTTAGAGTTCCAGTAGGACACAATTGTTCTAAAGCGTGGCCATGCCCATCGACAAAATCGTGGTCCTGGAAGACTGAACAGAATTCTCGCACAGAAGTTGAGGAAAAATAGGATCCTACTCTTATCCTTTTAACTCCGCTTCTATCTTGTTTAGGCGAATTTTGTGGAAGGAGTGCACATCCCATTCAGGGATGGAGTCTTATGGGGAATTCCTTATAAAAAGGGAAGAGAAAAACCCTAAAGGGGGATTAAAAAGAGCAGGGCAGCAATTCTGGACAGGATCTTCACCTTAAAACCCAGCCTCCCTCTCGGAAGCATGATGCGCTAGATTCTTCTTTCAGTCGGAGGATTATAGAGGTTTTTTTGGTTCAAGATTCATTGTGAGATCTTTGTAGTTTAATTATATCTTCTCTAAGAACATCAATTATTTTCTCGTGTTCATAAGACAAAGACCTTGCTTGATTGATTAAAAGACGTTTTGGTTAATTGAGTTTGAGTATTGGATGCCAACTGGAATGTTAAATTCGTATATGTTTAATTATTTCATATCTCGTGGCAATTTGATATGATTGATGAATTGAATCGTTAATGCATGTTAATGGGAATAATTGTTCCAATTTAAATAACCAAGTTTGTGCGTTATTGATTGGAAATTGATTGCTTTTTCTATTTCTCCTTGCTATTATCAATTTAAATCTTAAGTGCTTGTTTAGGATTGATTGATTAATAAGAGCTGTGATTGAAGAGCTTATTTCAATCATCAATTATTAAGGAAAGGATGGTTATTAGAACTCGTTAATAATCGAATCAATTTGTTCTTTTGAGAAGATTATCAGCCCATCGATGATCAATTGAATCGAACCATAACCAATATATATCTTCCGACTAGAAATTCATTCTCTCCGATTTTATTCTCTTATTTCTCTATTTGATTTCCATTACAACAACCTTGTTTTAATTTATCCATCCAAGAATCCAATTCAATTTGTATTTTCCTTTTAGAAAAGATCATCGACCAATCCCTGTGGAGTACGACTCTATTTCCCTTGACTACAAAAATCCATCCGTGAGAGTAGATAATTTATTTTGTTGGATTCGATACCCATCGAGTTCTACTTCTTTAGGCTTTCCTTTGTGGTGACGATAAGGCTTTCTATAGGATTTCCTATGGGCTTTGGCATCATAATTATTTTTACATTCGAGGGTTTTGAAGTGAAAATATCGAATTGTTTACGAAACTTCCTAATTCTTGTCCGGTTTTCTTTATCTCCCATTTAAGGTGTTTTTGAAGTTTTAGGTCTTGAAAAATTTTGAGTCCTTCCTTTTGGGTGAGACTAATAAGTTCACCATAGGTTAATTGATCATAAAGAATCCGGTCACCAAAGGCATCCTTGTTTCTAGTTCTAACCTTTTCACCTAGGAGGATTGGAAGACTCGCGAGGAATTTCTCTTTCCGAAGGGTTGGTCGAGTCTTCTCTAAGCATGACTGCGGTAAGGAAAGTGGTTTTTTAATATTGGAAATCACTAAGTTTTTTACACCTAAGGTTACTCGGGAGTTCGACATTTTTATCTTTTAGGTGTGAAAGGTCTCCTATGAAATAAAGGAAAATAGTCAAGATGAGAGTTGACACAACATCTTGGATTGGTTCATCTAAATCATCTAAGATAGGGAGTCCTTCTCGATCGGTTTATATGGAATTTAGGATTTCCTGGTGTTGTTGGGTAGTGAGATGGTAACCCACCATCCTTGTAACCGGCCTAAAAACCGACGATAAGGAGTTCTGCTATGGAACGATCCGGGATTCTAGTTTGGGTTTTGTAGATGTTAGGCTGCTACGGTCATTTGTTGGAGTAAGCTTAGGATATTATACTCCAAGAGTCCATCTATATTCCATTCGTAAATGGAAGAGGCATTGAACCTAGAGTCGGGCTAATTTGTTTGGCATTTCTCCCAGTGTCTAGGGTAGTGATCATAGGTAGAGGATTTTTTCAATGGAGTTTATTAATCCCGAGGACGGATTCTGTCTCTAAATTTTGGTCTAAACATTGACACTATGGGATTGAGGTGTCTGGCGCTACTTGTTTAGAGGTTCCTATAGAGGAGACTTCTATTTTGCTAAGTCGGTCTCTAATGGCTTTTAGAAACTCAAGCTTGTTGGTTTGGATTTGTTCTTTGAATTGTCCTAGAAACTTGGAATGGCTTAAAAGCTGGGTTCTTAAGTCTCTTTTCTTCAGTTGTTTCTAGGGATAATGAAGGAGAAACAACCTGTCTTCGGATATAGTTTTCTATCCTAACTAGTTGTTTTCTTATGGTTTGGAGGTTGGCATTTGAGAAATTGTTCGTTGAACAATGTTTTGGATGTTGGCGAGTCATCATCCTTGGGAATTTTGTAGGGACATGCTTCATCTTGGCTTCTCCATGAGAGAAGGTAAGCTTCTTAGGAGGAGGGTGTTCGGACTGGATAGTCTTTCCTTCTACTTCCCGAAGGGAGTTTTGTTCCTAGTCGTCATAGGGTTTAGGGTTTTGGTGAATGGATAAGATATATCATGTTCATAAGCATACATCTCAAACCAATCAAAGAATAATATATGAACTTTATGCATATTTACAAATTCATAAAATTCATTTTGAATTTCTTTCCTATCGCAAGAAAGTTTTCGAAGAACCAAATTCTTTTTCGAATTATGTTTTGCATAGAAATCATCATGCGGATATTTTTTATCTACTACGGACATATCATCAAATAGAGCATTACATTCATTAGCAATGTTTTTAGTGACACCGGATGCGGTAGGAGATAAAGGTGAAGATTCATCCCGATTAGAATATCTAGGTTTTGGGATGTTTGTACAATAATCAACATTTTATAAAACAGGAGTTGGAACATCGAAGTTGAAAACCTATGATGCGTACTAAGAGTTGGTAGACTCTATTCTAGGTCTTTATCTCTCATAGTATTTGGAAGGTTAATGACGGAAGGAATATTGAAAAATCTTCCTAAGTTAAAAGTTTTAGAACTTGAAGCAACATCGGAAAATCTACTACTAGTAAATTTTCTATCAAATGAGAGTCTAACACTCCTATCTAGGTGTTGTGCTATAGATCCGATTTGGGTATTTGATTTCGGAATCTCTAGCATTGGTAGAGATGCGATGTACTTATGCCTTCTAAGATCCATTATTCGGGTAGGACTATGCCTTTCCATTTAATGGGTCTAAGGACATAAGGGATGATAGTGTTAGACTTAGTTAAGTCCGTTTATAGGAGAAGGGTTTCTTCCTTGGTCGATTGTCGTTTGTGTTGTGAGGCAAAGGCGAGTTCATGGCCTTATAATAAATTTTTAT